GATTCATAACATACTATAAATAAACCATGTGGCGGTATCATCTAAAGCTAATTCTTGAAGGTTTTAGATACAGCAGCTTTGTGCATGCTTTGGACTGATTTAGGCTGTTCAGCTAGACTTGATGTTTAAAAGGCCTATTACAGTATGTGACTAGCTTTAAAATCCTCTTTTACAAATTGTTTTCTAGCTAGGGCATATCTAAAACAGTGTACATAGGTGAAAATCTGCAGACTGGTTGCTTACATTGGCTACATAGCAATGCACAACCAAGTTGTAGAATGTACTGTACATAGTGGAACAGTTGCTGGTGTGATTGTTGTGCTCACATCAGCATGGTATCAGGATCCATGTCAAAGCTGGATTGTGATTTTAAAAGTATAATTTATTATTGTGACTTTTGTCTAATTTCTGTCCTTCAAAAGAGTGAAAAAAATTACTGAGACTGCAGCTCAAGCTGTGATTCTTTTACTAGGAAATATGGTTTATGTCTATTATCTCTCATTCTGTTTTTCCCTCCTTGCAAATAACTTTATAGGTAATAAAGTGTAATACCTTGCTCTTTGCTCCCTATCTGAAAAATTGACAGTGGCTACCAGTCTCAGGACTCTCCTGCACAGCAGCCTTAATTACTGACCCCATGGTAAAATTGGTTGGAAATAATCCAGCTTAAAAAGTAGTTGTCATTCTTCAGCTTTGACAATGATGTACTAAAGGTACTTGTGCATTATACCCAACTGGTGTTATTTCCCTGCTTCTTTAGCCATCTTTCCTATCCATGCTAAGAGAACAAGTGCCATATTGAAGGCATGTGGTTTCCATTGTCAGAGCTTTTATATGAACCCTCCTCCACTCCCTAGTACTTGACACTTTCTGGTTTGGTGCATCCATCTGTGGAACACACTGCTTTACTATTCTTACTATGGTTAGGTTAGATTTAAACTCTTATCAGTTTCTCCCTTTTTTAAAAATAAGGGAAAGTTCTCCATTTTAGTGGCCCACAAGTGAAGCTGTTTTGGGAGTAGAAGCAGGGGAGAGTCACAAGAGTCAATGACTCTATTGCTGCCCCCTAACTGTTGCAACAATGGTTAAGCATCAATGAACTGGTGTTTCAGAGTACAACTTATTAGAGATACAGAAGGAATCCACATAAAGCCCAAGGGAGAAGCATAGTGTGATTCAGAAGTTGGAATGGTCTGTTTCTTAGATGGATGTCCTGTAATTGGTTATTGATGGCAGTAACCACTGACCAGAGAAAAGAGGATATGCTGGCAAATCTATCCAGTGATCAGTAGGAACTTAAAATGCAGCAGAGAAACTGCATGAGGAGGTTCAGCCAAGACTGAAAATATTCGAAATGGAGTGAGAAGACATGTTTGCAGGCTGCCTCCACACCGGGATAAGAGTGATTTGAGGGTGATATCATCATTAAAACTCTCTCAATGTGACTGGTGAAGCATTGCTCACCCACGGTCAGTAGATTATACAGAAGAGCTATTAGGAATGGGAAGTGGCAATGGGTGCGACAGCCATACAATTGCAATTAATACTTGAATTGATCTTGCCAAAGGGTGGGGTGCGATTCAGATGCCATCTATAATACATAATAGCAATAACACTTAGACTTATATACCGCTCCATAGTGCTTTACAGCCCTTTCTAAGCCGTTTACAGAGTCAGCATATTGCCCCCAACAATCTCGGTCCTCATTTTACCAACCTCGGAAGAATGGAAGGCTGAGTCAACCTTGAGTCAGTGAGAATCGAACTCCTGGAGTGAGTACTGAGTTAGCCTGCAGTACTGCATTCTAAGTAGCTAAGTATCCAGTTGTATAGATGGGCTAATGTAGAGTTTTTATTTCTCTACATATTTGAAATGTTTAAAGATAAGAGGGGTTATTTGTGCCTAGCTAGTGTTTTAAGTTTTCCAACTATAAATTACAAATTAAAAATATAGTTGTGGAGTCTTATAATACCGCACAACTTTGTAGCAAGAGTGTCAATTTTTTAAAAAGTAACTATGAAAATGTCAGATCAGATTTCAAAAAAAGAGGACTTTTTATGTCAAAGTCCTCTCTCATCTCCCCTTAGAATTTCCTCTCTGAAAGAAATGAGAGTTCCCTCACTTAGCTTAGAGACAAAGGAATACAGTGAGTAAGATAATATGATAAAAATGTCATTCCTTGGTGCTTAAATGCCTGTTTCTCATAGTTTGGGGCACTTCAACTCCTGCTCACAATTCCAGTGTTATAATTGCATGTTGCTAATTTGCTAGCAATATTGGAGGTTGCAGCTGTGGGTAGTGCGTTTAGTTGTTCAAGATTTGCTTTCCTTAAAAAAACAAAAAAGCATTCACAGTAAATTTTCATTGAAAGCACTTTATTCAGCACTTAAACTCTCAGGGATGGTTGCCCTTCTTCCTCTTCAATTATGCAGTTTTTGTGAATTATAAGCAGCTATAGTTTTCTAATTAAACTTATACGGATCATAAGGCAGACTCATCACATTGAGAATAGCAGACTATAAAGAATAACTGTTTTTTGTTTAAACAATGGCACCTCATTGAACACCAGGGAAAAAGTTTATGGCAAGAAAGATTTGCATGTCCAAGTGAACAAGGAGATGCTTCGCCAGATAAATTTTTGAAATATTCTGTGACATATTTTCTTGCAATGAATATTGTATTAGCACAATAGGAAGTATATTCAAGAAAGTACTGAGTTTTTAGAACTCTTTAGAGGTAAAACTTATTTTCTGCAGAGGAATTATGGGCCAACAGGATCCTTTCTTTCATCTTTGTTGTCAAAGTAGAGGCACACATACACACACACACACACATCACACGACCTCCCATCTAAATACTGGCCAAATATGGCCCTTCCTCAATACGCTGGTTGCATCATGTATCTTCACCCGTTTTCGTGAACATTTTTTCAATTGCTTTGTGGCAATACTGAAATGCATTCTTACATTGTTTTTTCCTCCTAGAATTTTCAGATAATTACATACTTATTTATAATGTCTCAAATGTCAGCCCTCCAAGGCAAGCCAGATAGGAAACATGACAAGACAAACTAATTTTATTTTGTTGCAAGGCTAGATTGATAGAATATTGCAAGTGAAAGCATAAACTTCCTGCCACCATTTTAAACCACTTGATGCATTAGGGCAGGTTCTTCCTGTGTTTCTTTCTCTGACTATTAAGCCACTGGCGGCTCTTGCCTCTCTTTGTCTAATTGTTTCCAAGGCAGCGTCTCTTCCCCTCTTCCCCCAAGGTCTTTCCTACATTCCATTACATCTTTTCATCTACTCAGAGATGAACATACACTTAAACAACATATGTTATTGAGAAATGTATAACTGTTTGGACTTCTGAGGGCAGCAATGGCAGATTGGTGAAAATAGGATCCAGTCAATGGATCGGCTCCTCAAAATTCCTCTTCGGATCAAGAGGACAACAAGGGTCGCCCACAAGTTTGCTCTGAACAGAATTTCCCTGCGAAGAGATTGTAAAATAGCGATTTCAAGTTCCACTTCCTCTCTTAATTACTTTGAGAAGCTGCTTATTATTGACTTCTTGAAGCTAAGAATCTTCCAAACAGCCAGTTCTATTACAAAAATCCCATCTTTTTTAAAAGGCCTGGTAGCATGCAAGTTAGTCATGACCGACTTAGCTTAGAAAGTGACTAGCAAAAATGTGGAGATGCATTAGAACAGCCCTCTTAAATTCTCTGCAGTTTCATCTCCTGTTTAGTAGCTCCCCAAGATTCTGGAAAGGAATATTTTGCTTAGGAACTGAGGATACAGTGTGCCATTTATTATTCTTTTTCAAGGTCTCAATCCTAACTGATAATTTAGTGTTTTTCAACCTTGGCAATCAGGAGTTGAAGTCCATCTGTCTTCAGGTTGCTAAGGTTGAGAAACATTGTGATAATTCATCCATACTGGAAGGAATAAGATGTTGAAGTCTTCTTCTTTACTCTCTCATTTAGCGTTTCAGGTGTTGAAGGAATCTAGGTGTGCCTCTTAGAATTAGGTTTGGATTGTTGTGTACCATATTTATAATAACTTTAAAAAGGCAGGATGAAAATTAGGAAAAATACAGTATGATAGATATAATTTTTTACAGCCATGCAATTGGATTGCTGAGTACTATTGGTAATACAACTGGTACTCTTATTTCTTTCTCTTTTTCCCTATTTTAACCTTGTCCATTTGTGAAATTTGTTTAAAATTTTATATAAAGCTATGAATAACTCATGCATGCAATGCTTATTGACTTTTGTTTTTCACTAACATTCATTGGCCCTGTAGGTCAATAAATGTAAAGTTGATTTAAGAAGTCAATATGCCTTATTTTAATTTAGATTAAATTTTTGTCTGATTCAGCATTTTAGCTGTCTTATATAAATAAAAATCTCATGTCAATTTATTATTAAAATGTATGTCAATATAAAATGTTTTCTGTAGGACTGGAAATCCCCTGTTGACTTAATATTTTTTAAGCATTTCCAACCAATGACCTTCCTGTTTTTATTGTGCCCTTTTACAGTATATGCTGCCTCAGCTATTGATCAAAAGGAATTCAAACATTAATTTGTACAACTGGCTCCCTACAATAAGGGCACACTTTATTTTTATTTTTTATAGATCTTACAGTGCAGAAATATCAATGTATTAGACTTGGATAATCATTTTAATTTTTTGTGTTATCTTTCTGGAACTGAAGTTTTAATAAAATGATCACTTGTTGAACTTAAACTAAACCAGACTTCTAAATATACATTAAATGCAAAAAGATAATTTAATTCAGTTAAAGAGTGTGCTGCAGAATGTTTCTGAGAATGAGATGATTTCTCAATGGGAAAATATAGCTCGGGAGTTTCCATTTATGTGAAAATTGCTCTTTTACTGTGTACTCCCCTAGATAAGATTATATTTTTTCTCTGTCTTTTGATTTTTTTTTATTAATAGTTACATTAATAGGTTTGTTTTTCTTCTTAGGCATTGATTTTAAAGTGAAAACAATTTCATGTGATAACACAACTATGAAACTTCAAATATGGTAAGTTTTATAAGAAATATAATTAGTTTTGGTCTTCTAAGAGTTGATCATAAATAGCCGCCTTTAGCAGAGAAAAAACATAATGAATATATTGTTGTTTTCAAATGCATGCTAACCAGTGGATTAAGGTTGCTAATGTTCCAGTTAGATATCAAATGTCCTTGTGAACACCTCCACTGTTGTCTTCCAGATCCTCCAGAACATCTGAATTCCTGAATTTGTGAACATTAAAAAAAAAAATTTCATGCAGAACTTTGGCACATCACAAAACACCAGTCTTTGGCATTATCTTACATCTAAAAATATTGTGGGCTTCATATGTAAAGAATTTAGAGCACGGGTATCAAATTTGATTGCATCACATGAAGTATTGTGACGTATCATGATTTTTTTTGCCTTTGCGGAGCCGGGGTAGGCGTGGCCTGCGCATGACATATTTGGCCCACGGGCCACCAGTTTTATACCCCTGATCTAGAGGATACCCTTGATCAGCACAGGGAAGATCTGCAAATATATGTGGGTTAAGGCCAAACCAAGAAAAAGATTTATGAAAACAACTCAGTCTTCATAGGGGTGTATGTAATTAATAACAAGATTTTTTTTCATCAAAATCCGGATTGTTACAGGTAAAGAATCAGACCAGATAGGATATCCTACCTGTAAAGGGGTATTGTTGGTAAATGTAAAGTGAGTACAGAAGCAACTTATATACTTCTAAGAACTACATATGTAGTCCTATAAATATAAATGTTCGGATTACAGTAGCTCCTGGTGACTGCCTGGATGAGGCCCTGTAGTTTTCTTGGCAAGATTTTGGGAGTGATTTGCCACTGTCTCCTTCCTAGGCTGAGAGTAACTGGCCCAAGGTCACCCAGGTGGCTTCATGCCTCAGAGTGGGATTGGATCTCATGGCCTCCCAGATTATAGTCTGGTGCCTTAACCACAGCATATATTGCCCTGATTACATGTGGCTCTTTGTCCACATTTCTGCAGTGAAAACTAGTGCTAAATTATCTATTATAATGTATTTTAGGGATACAGCTGGCCAGGAAAGATTTCATACGTTTACTACTAATTTTTTTCGAGGAGCACATGGATTTGTTCTTGTTTATGATATCACAGATGCAAAAAGCTTTCAAGGAATTTCACACTGGATGAAAGATATATATGAGGTAAGCTTCTGCTCTTCTGGACACAAAATACATTATATAATAATAATTAGTAGATTCGGGGAAGCTAATGAGACCACAAGGTTCCTTTATGTATTATTCAAACACTTTTGGAGCAACACCTTCTTGAAGTCACCTGTCTCTTTTTATAACTCTTTCCACCTGTGCACTAATTCAACTAGCTACTCAATTATTAGTAGCTGAACTCAATTACTTGTTTGTTCTCTCCATTCTCAACCCACCTTGATTTGTGCAGGCAGAAAGGCCACACATTGGCACACATATGCTCACTATTATATTGTATCTCCCATAAAATGAGATCGATACCTAGTTGTGTAGATTTTTTAATACTATTTATGAAGCATCAATGTAGCTCTATACTCACTTCAGTTCCAAGAAGAGAAAACCATGGATATAGAAATGTACAAAATTAACTATAGGAAAATGAAAGATAAGGTTGCTGATATAAACCATGGCAGTTTCTCCAAGTGTAGCTCTTCATTTATCTCCAAAGAAGATCTCCCTGTCCCTCTTTTTTGACACTCATTATTTGTTGCTACCATCTATCATTTTCAGGACTAGACCAAATTCTATATTTTCTAAACCAAAGTAGTCTGTTAATGAACTTAGATATACACAGAGAGCTCTTCAAAAACTTTGTAATACTGAGACCTCCCTTCTCCAAGAATAAACTTAATGCTCAGCCTAAATAGGAGACCAGCTAATACTACTGTTATTGAGATTGGCTATAATAACAGAATTTTGCAAGTTTGATTCTCCTGACTCCCTCCCTCTTCTCCAGTGAATCAGGGTGGCATGTTTCTGAGCTGCTTTTGAATATTTTCTCCTTTCTCTGGGCTTAAAAAGCACTTCAGCCTATTTTGCCTAATTAATGTTTCTTACACATTATCACCAAGGCCATTTTCCTTACTCTCCATTAGCCCAAGGAATATACAGGTAGTCCTTCCTTACTGACCAGTTGTTCAGCAACCATTCAGTGATGTGATTTTGTTGAATGAAGAGTACTTATGACCGGTCCTTGAAATTCCAGCCATTGCAGCTCTCCCATGGTCACATGTTCATTATTTGCGGGGTTGGCAACTGGCTTGCATTTACAACAGTTGCAATGTTCCATGTTCAGGTGATTTCCATTTAAAATCTTTTCTGCCAGCTTCCCACAAGCAAAGTCAATGGGAATGCTGGCAGGGAAAGTCACAAGTCACTCTGGTAAGCCCCCCAACCCCAGCTTTCCTGCATACCATGCTGCACCCTCCTTCCCTCACCCTCCCTGTACTCCCATGTGCTCACACCATACTATGTGCTACTTCCCTCAGCCTTCCTGCACTTACGCAAACCTGTGCCCTCCTTTCCTCAGCTTTCCTGTGCTTGTGCTGCATCAAAGCACCTTCTCCCCCAACTTGTATGTGGCCTGCACTTGGGTCTCCCAGGGCCACTTAACAATCTGTGTGTCTTTTATAATGGCAGCCAAGTTTATGATGGCAACTGTTGTTGCTGTTGCTAAGCAATGTGGTCATGTGACATTACAGTTTACAACTACATCACTTAGCAATTACAATCCCAGTCCCAATTGCCATCATAATACGAGGACTACCTATACTACTTTTAGTAATTAAGCCTATCCAATATAGCAATGATAGAACTTTACAACTTTATAAAATAAAAAACATAGCTAACAAGCAGTAAAATATCAAAATTTATTTTAATAAAAAGAATGAGTTTTTATTTTTGCCTAATTAGTGAAATTGGGGTTTCATTCTCATTTATCAATTACCCAAAAATAAAAAGGGTGTTTCCTTGCCTTAAATTAGATTCTCTTAAGCTACTGTAGCTTGCAAAGAATTAGCAGGTATAAAGTTCTTTTTGATGTCTCCCCCAGCATAGCTATACTGAGATAACGGCCACCATTCCCTCTGCACATTTATTAGTGTTTCAATAATATGTCTACTTTGACCACCAAGTGCCATTATTTGTAGTCATTGCCATTCCAGGCACCATTAGAAAATACATAAAATTATTTATGCAATTTTCTTTATCCTGTGTGTTTGAAATAAACTTAACAGAAAATTTCTTAGGATTCATTCATCAACTGAATGAGACTAGCAAGTGTAGTGTCAAATGTCTCAAAACATTTGATCCCTATGATTTCATCAGTGGTTATTATAGATACCTATGACCCCAAAAAAGAACTGTGTCAGCTGGATGCAGAATTAGTGAAATTAGCTCTTAAATATCTCTGCTGTACACAGGGGAACTCCTAAAGGTTATCTTGGTAGATAAGACCATAGACCAGAAAGTATGATTTGTCAGACATGAGGAGCTAGGGGCAGTTGCCATAAATCAAGCTAGATAATTTTCTTTGAAAACCCAACAGTATCTATATGCCAGATCCTGGAATATATCATCTGATGGTTGGACTATTGTAATGCGCTCTACATAGGGCTATTCTTGAAGAGCATTCAGAAGTTACAGCTGGTTCAGAGTGTAGCAGCGGGCAGTTCTTAGAGTCCCAAGAACGGCCTGTGTAACAAAGCTCTGCGAGCTGCATTAGCTGCTAGTTTGCTTCTGGGTGCAATTCAAGGTGTTGGTAATCATCTTTAAAGCTCTTCATAGCATGGGTATTTGAGGAACTGTCTTATCCCATTGGGATTGGGCAACCTAATGTGTCCAAAATGAAACAAAAGATAAAATGAGTTAAATGTTTCAAATATTTTGGGTGGTATTTCACTGTTCAGGAAGTATATTAGGCAAAAGCAACCAAAATCATTCATGACGAGTCTCAACAGTAGTTTTACTGCTAATAAACTATGTAACAAAAATATTGTCAGACTGTCTGCTTTCTCTTCAGAACAGCAACATAAGGCTTCAAAGAATCAGGGAGCAGTCCAGTCTGTGCCACTTACTGAAGTGTAATGACTCTAAACTTGGGTCTCTTTAGGGCCCTCCCTCAAGTCCATCACAAAGTGTGAATCCACAAATGGCACATGCAGCACAGGAAATCAAAAGGAGCACAAAAGCTATTTTGAATTTTTTCTCTGTATGGGGGAGGGAATTGGTATTTGCCAGCATTAAATTGTTGTAAACAAAATCAGTGTTCCAACTTCCATATGGTGCTCATTTATCTCCTATTTCAATTATGGAATCCTTAGAGATAAAATTCCTTTGCAGAATTTTATGGCTATCCAGATATATCTGGATATCTCCAAAAAGCCCACAATTAAGTATGATAGTAATAAACTTCATATGCTGTTGCTACTTCGGTATTGTATTCACTGAAATGTTCCTGTAACAGTTAAAGTTCCCTTTAGCCAATACTGCTAATGCCTTGATAGCTAATTTTCCATGCTATTGTTTATGATATTATTTAATAAAGCTACTAAAACCAGCAATTCTTATTTTGTAGTGTTGAAATCATGTATTAATCATTATGAAATAGAAGCACTTCCCCCAACCGGGGTGGCAGTTGGAACCCCCAGACTTATGGTCTTGGGGGACTTCAACCTTCCATCAGCGGGCGAGACGTCGGCGGTAGCTCAGGAGTTCTTGGCTTCCATGACGGCCTTGGACTTGACCCAGTTAATTCAGACCCCCACCCACACGGGTGGACACACACTGGATCTAGTTTTTGTCTCTGGCCAGTGGCAGAGTGATCTGACAGTAG